CCGCCGAAGCAGAAACATCGCTTTATGCGCGGTTTTTGGCGTTAAGCAGAAGGTTCGAGTTAGTGCCGGAAGAGTTCTTGGTCATCCCACCATTGGAAGGACCACACGAAGGGGAGAAGGACATCCCACGAAACCTTCCTGCCAAGAACGCCGAGAGCAAGCCTATCACACTCCTGACGCGTTCGGGCCCTCCTTCATCTGCTGCGACACTCGCTGCCAGCAGTTCTGGATCCACCGAAGAGGAGACATCTGCGCAATCGAAGTCTCCGCGATTGGGTAACCGTTCTCGCACGGATACGATGTACCTCAGCAGCGGAACTAACTACGCCGCTGAGAGCGCGACGCAGAGGAGGGTGCCGAGTCCGTTGGCTGCTACGTTAGCTAGGGAGGAAGAAGCGGAATTGGAAGCAGAGATCCAACCTCAGGCTCAGGTGGCCGAAGAGAAGGATGTACAGGAGAGTACGATTCCGATCGAAGTGCCGAAGGATGTTCGGGCAGACGAGGAACATGAAGATGTGCACGAGAGCGAAGAGCACGAAGAGGAGATTGATTTGGCAGATCCGCCACCGGGGTTGTTTGAGAGGGACTTTGCGTTCCAGGAACGGGGTGGGAAGAAAGAGGTAGAGGGAGAAGTTAATGAGGATGTTAAAGATAAGGAAGGTGGGTCCGATGCACATGTTGTTGAGGACAAGAGTGCGAATGATGCTAAGGATGGAGTGGATGATGTTTTAGGGGAGCAAGAGCAAGCGACCGGTCAAGTGAGAGCTGATGTGAAGGAGGCGAAGCAAGAAGAAGAAGAGGAGGAGGAGGAAGAGGAGGAAGAGGAAGAGGAAGAGGAGGAGGAGGAAGAGGAGGAAGAGGAAGAGGAAGAGGAAGAGGAAGAGGAGGAGGAGGAAGAGGAGGAAGAGGAGGAAGAGGAGGAAGAAGAAGAAGAAGAAACGGCGGAGGAACCACCAAAGGCAGAGGAGCCAAAGGCAGAGGAGCCAAATGCAGAGGAGCCAAAGGCCGAGGAAGCGAAGCCGGAGGAGACACAGGTGGAAGCAGAACCCCCGATCGAGAAGAAAGAGGTCGCGGAACAGAGCGTACAACCTACACCTACACCTGAAGCTACAGTTACGACGGAAACTCCAAGCGAAGACGACGCACCGTCAGATTCTGATATGCTCAAGAAAGACGTCGAGCCTGCCGAGGAGACCGCCTCTGCACCTGCACCTGCAACGTCGAAGGCTGAGGAAACGACTACTACGATCAGTGCCACTAAGGAAGAAGAAAAAGAGACTTCCACTCCTCCTCCCGCATCAGAATCCACAATCGCATCTGAGCCTCAGGTCGAAACCGAAACCGAAGCTAAATCAGAGTCTGACCCACCAAAAGAGCCGGAAGAGAAGAAGGAAGAGTCGTAAAGCCCCTTAAGCTTCATTCTTATCGCGGTATAGTGGATGGGCTCAGGTGAATAATGGCTATTATAATTGTATATATTTATTTCTTGTGACGAGTATTGATGTCGTTTATGGTGTTGTAACGTGATGCTTATTAGATGACATTTACATTACATTAAAGAGGTTCTGTGAGGCTCTTTTCTGTCGTAGATACTTATATATACCATTTCCTTTTATTTCTTGTGCAAACGTGGGCGGCTTACCTTAATTGTGTATAGCCAGTATAGTGGCAAGCGGGTGAACTGATATGCCCGCAGGAAATTTAGCCTCCGTAGTAGGAATCATGTAATTAATTTAATTGTTTCTTGGAGATACAAAGTAACTTATCTAAGATAAACATAATTCAAATCACTCATTGGACACTACAATAACAGCCTTTGCCTTGTTATGTCCCCTCTGCACATCCAGAATCGCCTGTCCAGCCAGCTCTAATCCTTCGTACCGCTGCTCAGTGTACTTGATTTCCCCACTCGCAACTTTCTGAGGGAATTCTTTGTAGAATTCATCGATTAGATCAGGGTGCTCGAAGACGAGGAAGCCGGTCATGGAGAGGCGTTTCGTCATGACGTAGATTAAGTTCTGAAATGGGGAGGAAGGTTAAGATCTTGAGCGGTAGCGCTGACGCCGAATATTGTATTTACCTTTACGCCGTATTTCTCGGTGTCTCCGGCATTATATTGGGAGATGCTTCCGCAGCTGATTATCCTACCGTGTGCGTTCAACAGGTTGATAGCAATTTCCAGAGTCTCGCCTATGTATAAGAGGGTCAGGTCGCTGTCACG